GAGAGAGAGAGAGAGAGAGAGAGAGAGAGAGAGAGAGAGAGAGAAAGAGAGAGTGCTTTGGGGTTTAAGTGCGAAATATGCGGTTTCTATTTCACCATAATTTCCGTTTTGGGTAAGTCCGAGATTTGGATGTCCTAAAAAGGAAAACGTACGAGATCTCGGTCGACAACAATAGAGAAGAGCAGGAGCGAACAAACTCACTGGGACGCCCACAGACACGAAGAGATATAGAGATACATATATTAGAGAGCGAGCGAGCGAGAGAGAGAGAGAGAGAGAGAGAGAGAGAGAGAGAGAGAGAGAGAGAGAGAGAGAATGCGACGGGGAGTCCAAACATCAATAATCTTTGATTAAAAAAAAAAAAAGAAGTACGCTTTGATTGTCGACCTTGTCGCCATAGATTCTGCCGAACGTGCAAAACAACACAGTACATCACACATAGTGTTGCATAGTACACAGTACTTCATAGCACACGGTGCATAGCACAAAGTACTGCATAGTACACAATGCAGCGCACATATTATTGCATAGTGTACAGTATATAGCCCATAGTATTGGATAGTATATAGTATATAGCATAGTGTACAGTATATAGCACAAAGTATTGGATAGCATTTAGTTTATCGCGCATAACATATAGTACGGCATAGTACATAGTGCACACCACATAGCACTGCATTAGTACCTACCACATAATAGCACATACTATTGCGTCGTACAAAGTACATAGCGCGTCACAGTACATTTAGCACGTACTATTCACTACTACACAGCACATAGCCCCATAGCACTGCCTTAGTGAACAGCACATATTACTGCATTCGTCAATACAATGAATACAGACCACATAGTACCTACCACAGTACCGACCACATCGTACTGCATTAGTCAATACAGCACATAGACTGCAATCGTGAATAGCACCTAGTACTGCATTAGTGAATAGCAGATAGTACTGCATTAGCAAATACAGCACATAGTACCTCTCAGTACCAATAGCACATAGTACTGCGTTAGTACCTAGCACAGAGCATTAGTGAATAGCACATAGTGCTGCATTACTACCGTCTTCACCCCAATAGAACGCCCCCGGTCATTATAGCTGCATTTGGCCCAACGTTCAGTCCAGATTCAGCGATAATGACCGGGTGTTCTATTCGCGTGAAGACGGTAGTAAATAAATACACACCGAGTACGTAGCCTGTGCAATAGGCTTCAAATACAACAATGTGCTATGTATTAATGCCGCAAATAGGACTACATTCATAGCGCTACATTCTATGAACTATACACGAGCATAATACGTTCTATAGAGCACTACAAAACCTACCTTTTTTTTTCTTTTCTTCTAATGTGATTATTATGGCATGTACAGTGCACACTATTCCGACTATATGCAGACTACTCCGGACCGTAATCTGTTCGATCTGGTACTTGATAAAAAAATTAAAAAAACTGGACGTTCACGATTTAACCTCATAATTTTATTCTTCTTAATGTGATTATTATGGCATGTCCAGTGCACACTATTCCGACTATATGCAGACTACTCCGGACCTTAATCTATTCGATCTGGTACTTAATAAAAAAACAAAAAACTGGACGTTCACGATTTAACCTCGTAATTTTTTTCTTTTTAATGTGATTATGATGGCATGTACAGTGCACACTATTCCGACTATATGCAGACTACTCCGGACCTTAATCTATTCGATCTGGTACTTCTATTCGATCTGGTACAGCCAAAAAACAAACTGGACGTTCACGATTTAACCTCATAATTTTTTTCTTCTTAATGTGATTATTATGCCATTTTTCTTCTTAATGTGATTATTATGGCATGTACAGTGCACACTGTTCCGACTACATGCAGACTACTCCGGACCTTAATCTATTCGATCGGGTACAGCCAAAAAACAAACTGGACGTTCACAATAAAACCTCATAATTAGCCAATGGCGGCTACTCGATCAAAATCGAGCAATCAAAGCGGCTGCATTTTATTTTTATTGTTTTCTTTCTTTTCTTTCTTTTCTTTGTTTTTTTTTTAAATCTCAATAAAAAAATTGAGCAATCAAAACAGCTGTTTTCTTGTTTTTTCACCTTTTTTTTTTTTTCCATCTCAGTCAACATCGAGCAATCAAAGCGGGTGCAATTTCTTTTTTTTTTCTGTTTTCTTTTTTCCCTTTTTTTATTGTTTTTTATCTTATTAAAATTTAAAAAAAGAATGACTTAGATGCTCTTAGCTTATGGCGAGATCGAGCAATCAAAGCGGCTATATTTTTTTCTTCCCCTTTTCTTTCCTTTTTTCTTCTTATTTAACCAAAAACAATAGAGAAAGAGAGAGAGAGACAGAGAGAGAGAGAGAGAGTGGCAGTGTATATTTCCATGTTCTAGCGATAGATTTATTCGATTTTGCTCATCCTATCGGATGGGCAAGATATCCTCCTTCGACCTCTTCCATGATACTTTTCGCAAAAAAAAAAAAAAAAAAAAAAAAAAATCTCGTACCTTCCACGTCTTCGTCCGTATTATCCGAAAAAACCGATTTCTTCTGCGACGACCGCGATCCCGATGTCAGCTTCTCGAAAACCAATTTCTTATGCGACGAGTGCGATCCCGACGTCAGCTTCTCGAAAACCAATTTCGTCTGCGACGACCGTGATCCCGACGTCAGCTTCTCGAACAGATTCGCCTGATCGCTTTTCCCGCCAAAAACTTGATGATTATGGATAACGTTATTATGGACGATTTTATTATTATTATTATTATCCATAACAACAACAATAATATTATTTTCCAGAATAGGAATGTTCTTTTCCAGAATAGGAACATTCTTTTCCTGGTTTTCCATAATTATTACAGGCATAATAGTAATACGCTTCTCCACATTATCAATAGGCATTTCCTTATGCTTATCGATATCCCGATCCATATCCCGATCCTGACGAGGAAGATTGGGATGATCATCGGACGACCGCGACCGTTGCCGACGTGGCAGATCTTTCGGGTCGGGATCGAGATCCTCTCGACGACGGACGTCCGCCCCGTCCGCCGGCGGCAATAAAACGACTCCTCCTGGAACTTTCACCACGCACATCTCTGCGGCGGCGCACGTGGTTGTGACACGTGTCAGAATCCCGACGAGACAGAGACATACGACGATGATGATCCTGAAAAAAAGCACCGACCGCGAGCTGCTCACGTCATTCTTGCTTAATAAAATCCTTATCCACTTCGAAACTCGGCGCGCAGCGGCGTTTCCCTGAAGCTGCTGCGGCTGCTGATAATGATAATGATACTCATCCTGATGCGGATGCTGATGCTGATGCCGCGCAGGCCCCCGACAACGCCGAGGGAAGGCGGACCGTGGCCGCATTGGCGCGCAGTGGTCGCGCGCGCGCAGCAGCGCCGACGACGGACTGCACACGTCATCATCCGCGCTCGAAACTCGGCGCGCAGCGGCGTTTCGCTGCAGGTGCAGCTGGGACGAAACTCGGCACGCAGTGGCGTCATCCTTGTTTCGCTGCTGTTGCAGCTGCGACGAAACTCGGCGCGCAGTGATGTCATCCTTGCTGAGCCACAGAGAATGCCGACGACCGCGTGCCATCCGCGCGCAGTGCGACCGCCGGGGGGACTCGCATTTGGTGAACGAGAGGTAGAGAGAGAGAGAAGAGGAGAGGTGACTGAGAGACCGGAGGAGGGAGGAGGAGGAGGAGGAGGAGGAGGAGGAAGGGGAGGAAGAGCTTGTGAGATTGGGATCCGTTCCACGTGCATGCGCAGCAGCTCTGGTGGAAGGAGAAGGAGAACGAGGAGAAGGGGAAGGAGGAGAAGGAGAAGGAGGAGAAGGAGAGAGAGAAGACGACGGAAAGACACGTGCCAAAGCAGGACAGGAAGCGTTGGAAGAAGACCATGTAGAGTCGTCGGTCGCTACTTCGTCGAGATCCCGATGCCAAGATTCCATCTCAGAGAGAGAGACGTGAGAGTAGAGGACAGTCGTCGGTCATTATTACTTCGTCCAGATCCCCGCTCGTCGCATTTTCGCATATCATGATTTTCTGCTCAGGGAATGACGACGGCCTCCATCAGAAGCCAACAGATTCTCTCTCTCTCTCTCTCTCTCTCACACACACACACACACACACACACACACACACACACACACACACATGCGCAAACACCCACACGCACACCCACACACACACACACACACACACACACGCAGACGGAAAACCGTACACATGCACGCCTTGACGCGCACGATCGTCGGTTGAGAGCCGCCGAGTCTCCAGCATCAAGCCGTTGAGAGCAGAGCAAGCGGGGAATCTCTCTCTCTCTCGCTCTCTCTCACAAGAGGCGCTGACAAAGAGGATGTCAGCTGAGCGTCGCACTGCCATGGGGAGGAGGAAATGACTCTCCGTGCTTCTGCTAGATCCGCATTGTTCTGCTCTCTCTCTCTCTCTCTCTCTCTCACACACACACACACACACACACACACACACACACTTTTTTTCGGCGGATTCTGTATACCCTGCTGCTATCTGCGCTGCCGTCTGCCTCGTCAGAACAACACCGCAACCCCCGGGGCCAAGTCCCACTACCCAGCAGCGTTGAGTTTCCTCAACGCCCGAATCTGGACGTGTTTGTGGAGATGTGCAGTTTGCACATCTCCACAAACACGTCCAGATTCGAGCTTTGCGGAAACTCAACTTTGATAGTGGGACTTGGCCTCCGTACAACAGCCAACCAAACGCGGGAAGAGGAAAAAATAGCCAAAGAAAAACTTGTTCTTTTTTCTTCTTTTTTTTTCAGAATGAAAAACAGGTTCCGAAGAAGAGAATGATAACGAACCCTCCTCCCCTCCTCCCCCCCTCCCTCCCCCACCCCCCGCCCCCTGCAACTCCAACTTCAACTCCTCCCCCCGAAACCTCCTCCCTTCACCGCAGAGGCGTACTATAAATGCACAATATCCCGGGCCACGAATAGATCACGTTGATACGGAATTATATTCACAAATATTTATTTATTGATTGTACATAATAAGGTAATATTGGAAGACCAAGGGCATACTCACATTAGGACTTTTTTTTCTTCTTCTTTACTTATTGCAGAGTGGAATTGTGGTCAGAAACATCTACGATAGTGTTACTGTAGTGTGTAGGCCCTAAGGTAGGTGTAGAAGACTATTCTTTTTTTTTTTTTTCTTTACTTATTGCAGAGTGGAATTGTGGTCAGATACATCTACGATAGTGTTACTGTAGTGTGTAGGCCCTAAGGTAGGTGTAGAAGGCTATGTAAAGATTCCCAATAGACACTGTCCGCGGGCCTCACGCGACTGCCCGCCAGATGCAGAAAAGACGAGAAATAGAAATATGGTGATGTATCTTTCCATGATCAACCGCTAGATTCATTCTTATTTTGCACATTTGGTGACGAACGGATCTCATGGTGCGCCCATGCGTTGTTGACGACCCGACTTGCGTTCGAATCCCACCAAAAGGGAAGTACACTTTGGTGAGATTTTATTATTATTATTATTATTATTATTATTATTATTATTATTACTATTTAATTTAAAAAAAGCACCGATCTATTTGTGGGGAGCGACATTTGGTGAGATTATCTTTTTTTTTTTTTAACTATATTCTTCTCTCAAATTCACCTCACACTATTCGGGGGAGGGGAAAATACCCAGTCCATCCAGCGGCCTAGCTCAGTTGGTTAGGCATGCAAGTGGCATTCAGGAGGTTGTGGGTTCAAGCCCCATGGCCGCGTGCGGCGCACTTAGTGCCAACGGACTGTACCCCTCATCGGTATTAGCGGGGTCTATGACCAACACGGCTGTGAATGTGAGCGCGAGTGGGTTGTGTGTGGTGTGTGGGAGAGTGTTGGCCATAGCCTCTGCTGGTACTCTATGAAGGGTGGGGGACGATGAGAAAGGGAGGCACAGCTACTGGCAGGTCTCGGTCTTTGTGTTAGCCAGACCCCCACTGGCGGCTTAGGGGCAAGGGGCAACATGAAATCTCCCCTTCACAGAGAGAGGAAAACTATGCTTGCAGGGGTCCCCTCTAGATAGTCTTAGGAGTAGGTCGTGGAAGGTAAACAAACAGAAGTTGAGAGAAGAATATAGACAGTTGTGATCACCCCAATAAATAAATAAATAAATAAAAAAACAGTCCAGGTGACTGGCTGGTACTCCCGTGAATGACAAATAGAGTTGCGTTCGAATCCCGAGAAGGAGATTGTACCAAGTTGTTTTTTTTACAAAAGACTCTGCTCATTGGATTGCAGAACCCTAAACCAAGCATTCGAGGGGAGACTAGGGAACCAGGTGCGCTAATCTACTGCGCTAATTCCTGTGCGCTAAGCGCCGCTTATTCGTGTGCGCTAAGTGCCGCTTGGGCGGCGCGGAGCACTAGGATGGTTTAGGGCAGGGATTAGCGACTCCGGTCGAAGTGGAGCCATAGTAGCCCAGTTTAGTCAACATCCTCGATAGTCTCGAGGTTTTTCAGATCTGCTCAGGGGGAGGTGGCCAGAGAAGCCAAGGGGGAGAGGGCTGGAGTGCGAGAAGAATTATCCGTGGGCCAGAAGGCCGGTTAAGAGATGGGATGAGCAACACTGAACGTTGACGTTTTCGGCAGCAACGACTCCTCATTTGGAAGGCAGGGCTCTCGGGAGGTAAAAACGGTGTTTCCATGAAGAAGGTAATATCACGAAGAGATCGGCATCTACCACTAAGCCGCTCTCTCTCATTGCTTATCTGGGATTTCCGTCCGGGGATCGGACTATAGGTGGTAATTACAAACGACGTTCTTCATCCAATGTCCCTGTATACAATTTTTTTGTAGTAAGTAGATTCATATGCAGCGAGTGCTTAGGAGGTCCTTGTTGATTACTTATTGCGTCCTGCTCCTAATAGTTGCTTTCAGGTCAGGGCTTATGATGGAGCCTTCTAGCGCTACTCCCGCGGCCCCAATGTCTCCAGACGAGAGAAGAAGAGTTAGAGAGATACTAGATGATGGCTACTCAAAAGGAATTCTCCCCGAAGAGTATGCTCCACAGGTAGTGGAAACTGGTGCAGATTTTGTCAGAGTCGTTGTTAACAAGGAAGCATACAAGATCCAAGCCGATTGGCTAAGAGACCACACGGTCTCAATCCACTTCGGCAACGACTCGACATCCTTGCCTGTGGGTGTCCAAAATCGTCTATTCCGCATTTATGAAGATGGTTGGGCTAAATCAGGAGATTTAAACGTGGCCCTCAAACATGGGATCTTCAGGAATGAAGGTAAAAACCTAGTCACCTATGTGGCCAGTGCTCCACCGATAGCGAAGTTCATGCTTCGCAAGGGGCAATACAATATTGAGTTGGATGGGAAACGATATACCCTTACCTTTAAACCTTGGATGACAGAGCAGGAAATATATGATTGGAACGATTCCCTTAAATTTAAGTATTTTTGGGTGAAGGTGCTCCAATTCCCTATCTTAGCTCGGCTCTCGTACAACTTGAAGTCTACCCTAATTGTCGATCTGGATACAGATGGATATGTAGAGCTTCAAGTTGCTTGTGCGGAGTCTTTGTGGTGTAGTGTCTGTCGTCGCTACTTCCATGATCAGACAGACCCCCAGTGTCCGGTCAATGCTCGCAAAGCCGCGGAGGGCTCACAAAAGACGGGGTATCGGGACGCTGTCCTGAAGGGAAAGGAGAAAAAAGGGACAAGAGAAAAGGCGGAAGAAACGGTACAGAAAGAAAAAGAGTCGACAATGGCGAAGAGGGCGGAGGATGCTCAGAAAGAAAAAAGGCAGAAAAAAGCGAAGAAAGACAAAGGGAGTTTGAAATGGAAAAGAAATTCGAAATGGAAAAAGAAAGAGGAAGAAGGCCAGCAAGTCAGAGAGGACAAAAAGGAAGAGGAAAAGGGGGAGGAGTAAAAGAAGGAGGGAAAAAAAAAATGGGAAAGAGGAGGGCAGGAATGAAACTCTGAGGAAGAGAAGGAGAAGGAGAAGGAGGAGGAAGACATTTTAACGAAAGAACTGATCTATTTTGATGAAAAGCTGGCTTCAGCCACCCTGGGATTTGACCTTCAAAAGGAGACCACAAAGCCCACTGACCCCCCATCTACCACTCAAGGACAAATGGTCGACCCAGAACAAGGGAAACCATCGTCCGACGAGGAGGTAGATAAGATGCAAGGGGTGGAGGAGACCGATAAGAAAACTAAGGTTTTGCGCTTTAAGGTAATTTAAAAGGAAGCGGTTAAAAAAGGTTCATCTACTGGAGCTAAGAAAGCGGCAAAAAAGAAGAACAAACGAGATGTTATATCTCAGGGGAAGAGAACAGCCGCCCAGGAGATGTTACCAACGAAGAGAAGCAAGCTTACTTGATAGTTTAGCCTCCCATACAAAGTACTACTATCCGGAGGCTACTCTCCCACTTCTTGAGAGAGAACAAAACAAGAAATAAGGGGGAAGCGCTCAGTGGAATACCGTGCACTTAAGCAGAACGTGAACCTCGGTTTTGCCGCTCCAATGAAAACCCTGTCCAAAAAAGACAGAGTAAGTAAAAACGTGGCAGAATTGTTTATCCCCGTGATTTGTTCGTTCTCACAAGTGGTCACCAATATGTTGATGTTCACAACTAGCCAGGAAGCTTTGGAGATCCTTGCTATTCAAGTAAAATCCCAACCCTCTGAAGACCAGGTGGTAGAAATAACACAAACGACCATCTTAAAAGGGATGGGCACTGTGATATTTCTACAGGACCCTAAGATCGAACGCCACGTGGTTTCCTTGAGGGAGGACTCGGTCATCATTCTTCATATTGTGTTCGTGAGCTTGGTCTCCCCAGAGGGATCTAAAGACCAATGG